TCTACCACGCCGGCTAGAACAAAGGTGGGTAATTCTAAGTGCTGGCAAGGAGGTGGCGGACTGGGAGCCCGCACGCTGCTGGCGGGAACGTGCGCTGACACAGCCACTTTGGACGACAGCCTGGCGGCTCCTCGGATGTTAAACTTAGAGCCGCTGTGTGACCCAGTGATTCCCCTGCAGGCTCGTACCCAAGAGAACTGAAAACATATGTTCACACAGGCAGTGTTCATAAAGCCAAAAAACAGAAGTTCTCTTCTTGAAGTGGAAGGGTGCGGAATTTCTCAGTATCTCCTTTTCTTTGGTTGCTGACTCTCTGCGAGTAGAATTTGGTTTTTCGTTCTGATGAAGCATCCTCACTGAGGCATAGAATGGCTCCGGAGCACCTTCAAAACTGTTCGGTGGCTAACAGCTAAATGGCCTCAAGCTCTGGTGGTTCGTTCGGGCGAGCTCTCGGGGCAGCTGTGAGAAGCCTGCTGTAAAGGGGCTTTTCCTCTGCCCTTTTAAGGGCGGCCCCGAGGGCTCCTCCGTGGCCTTCCTCCGGTGAAAGTGACTCCCGTTCTGGGGAACAGGTAGCCCGCAGCCACCTGTTATGAAGTTGGTTGTGAAGTTATTACTTACCGCCTGCTACGCGTAAACTCCCGTAAGTCACTTCTAGAAAGTGACGGCCACTACTTTTCCCTGCCGTCTTCGGTGCAGTGTCTGTCCCGTGATAGAGGCCCCGTTCCTGTCTGCAGGGAGCTGGGCCAGCAGCACACGGAGTCCTCTAGAGATCTGTCTCTCTCTGAACCCTGCGCGTCCCTAGGAAGTGGGCGTCGCTGAGTTGAGAAGAGAAGTGCCGTGAGCCAGAAACGGCGTTGTCGCCGGGTAGATGTTATTCTCGGAACTTCCCTTGTTAGAGGCCAGGAATTACCAGTGCGCTCACTCCTGTCTCGTGTGAGTATCTGTGTGTGGGGAGAGAAGCTGCACGATGTCAGAGTTTTATTTAGAAAACGAGAGAAGCCCCTTCCTCCCGCCCCCCCCCCCCCCCCCCCCCCGCGGCCCCCCGCAGCCGCAGCGAGCAGAGGGAACGGTTCCCGGCCCTCCCGGGCGCCAGGCGACCCACACATGCGGAACAGTCAGCAGATGCCTCTGCTGGGTCTGCTTGCCGTACATCCCATCCGAGGACTTTTCTGGACCCTTCCCAAATCCTCCAGAAGGCTCCAGTGAGCTCTGAAAGTCGAAGATTTTTCTTGTGTTCGAGTCTCTAGGTTCCCCAGGAGAAACCCCTTTGGGTAAAGGTGCGTGTCGGGTGTGCCCTTCGGTGAGCGCCGGCTCCCGGCTGGCGCTGTTCGCGTCCACGCCTGGGCGGCTCTTCGGGTTCTCTGCGGGACTCGTTCCCTTGCACGCGGGCTGTTTGCAAAGACTAAGTTCGATTAAAAGGTCATCATCGTGGATAAATACAAAAGCTACACGATGTGTGGGAAATGACCCCTGCCCTAAGATAGGTCAGCGAGCCTGAGAAATGATGATTCGTTGGTGGAACCCTTTGCCTTGAGTGTCATTTAAAAAATGTTTCAGATCCTAATTATCCCCAAAGTAGAGCTTTGATGTGCCTTCTGTGCGCCCGGCGGCGTGGTGGGAAGGAAGGGGCCGTGACGGCGCACTTCCCGCTGGATTCCCGCTGAACAGCTGTGACAGGTTGCTTGAGACCATCAGCGGCTAGACCTGCCACATGGTCCCCGTTTACACCACGCTGCACGGGGCCTGTGAAGGGGTCGGGCTTCCTATCAATGCCCATTTTTAATTGGGAAATTTCATTTCTAGTAGGTGTACTTGGGATAAAGACGTTTCTCTGTGTCCCTGCCTCCCGTCCATCTTTGGCGTCCACGGAGCGCCTCCTGAGCCTTAGGACTTTCCGGGCTTTGAGCCAAATGCTGGGGGGTGCGGTGTGGCACGAGGTGCAGACCGAACAGCGTCGCACGGAGGCCCTGCTCTGCCTCGCCACCCGGAAGCGAGGTGGGAGCACCGCCTGTGGACCAGACCGAACAGACTTCTGCACACCTCGCGGAGGCCTCGCGAAGCCCACCGAGCTCCGCCACGGCTGCCGGCATGCGCACACCCACCTCCTGAGCTCCCTGTGGGTGGCGTCGGCGTGACTAAGTGCTCCCCTCCCGAGAGGCATTAGATCAGGTGCTCAATGGAAAAGCAAGCGTGGGAGAGCCCCGGTGTCCGCACTTGCGGCTGAAGGGCCTGCGCGTCCATTCCCAGCACCGGTAGAGAGGAAGCTTAACGGGGAATCAGATCGTGAACCAGAAAGCTCAAACCCGCGGACCTCCAGCTTCTCCGCTGTGAAAATGGACAGCTCTCTGCAAAGGAAAAATAAGAGTGTGGAATCTAGTTTGTACGTAACAGCCGCATCTTCCCACCGAAGTTCCGCTGTGCTCGCCCTTCTCCACGCCGGACTCCACGGAGGTTTGCCCGGCCCGCCTGAGCCTGGCCACCCGGTTCCGGGACCGGGGAGGGGGCGCTCGCACCCAGTGCCGAGGCCCAGAGCGTCCCCATGTCCCTGCCCCAGCCTCTGACGTTTCCCCGAGACTCGGGCCTGAGGGGCTGCCGACCCACCTGGCACCCGGACCCATCGCCCTTCCGGGCGGGGTTGTCACAGCGGCCCCGGGGAGCCCGTCTCCCCTGGGAAGCAGGTGCCCCGTCGCGCTGAGCTGAGAGCGGGAGCCAAGGAGAGGATTTGGGGCGTGGGTCTGCCAACTCAGCCACGTTCGCTTTAAAAACCCAGTGCCTGGTGGCTGCAGCCTGGTGACAGGTACTCGGTGCTGCTGAACCACGAGCTCAAAATGGTTAAAGTGGTCGATTTCATGTTATCTGTGTCTTACGATAATTAAGGAAAAAAACCCATGCTTCTGAAAGTTGTATTTTAATTAAAAATTTTTAATTGCACTTATTATGAGGTCTAGTAGAATTTCTACGGATTCTGGGCTTAATGCTCCTGTTGTGGACTGGGTTGTTGATGAAACCACAACCTTCACCACCTCCCATCTGAGAAACGTTGAGATTAGAAACAAGGTTTGACCAGCAGCAATCACGACGGCCCACGTCCTCGGCACTGCCGCGTACCAGTGAGTGAGCGCGGCTTCACGGGCGTGGGATCTGAGTGCGCGGGGGCTGGTGGGCAAAGCCTGCAGGGCGCCCCATCTGTGCCCCGGGGTTGGGGGTTCCACAGGGTCCCGGGGGGGGCCAACGCAGCACGGGGACCGGGAGCAGCCTCGTGCTTGTGCGACCCAGGCGCTGACCGAGTCCTTGGGGGCACCGTGTCCTCATCGCGGAAGATCTCTAAAAATGGAAATACGGCTTACCTCATGGGGGGCGTTTCAAAAAGCAAATGAAATCGTGAACGTGACAGAGCCTTGAGAAGGGTCAACGACTGTGCAGCCGCGAGGAGCAAACACCGAGATTCACGCTCAGCCCGTCCGAGCAAGGCACGACGCACAGCTGTGGTCTGCGGGGACAGGAAGGAGTCCTGCCACTCTGGGGTGGTCACCCAAGGACCCCCGCAGGTGGCAGGAGGCCGCGGGGCCCGCGTGCTCCCAGTCCTCACGGCGGGGTGGGGTCAGAAGGCGCCTGGGAGCTGTCACCCTGCTTCACTTCCTGGATTGCAGACAGGCTGGGTTATGACCCGCGGTAAATAGCTTTCATTCCGCACAGGTCGGGGCTGTTGGTGAGTGAGTGTCCAGGTACTGGACGTTGTGCTGACCCACGGAACCGGCATTTTGGGCCTTCATCATCACTCAGGGCCGCTGAAGCCCGGGAGACGTGAAGCCCGTCCAGCGGCCCTGAGTGGGCATGTTTTGTCCACACCTTCCTTGTCCCCTGCGCCCAGCCCCAGGGAGGGCCGCCCTCTGCTTCCGTGCCCCGGCTCCATGCGGTGAGCCGTGGGAGCCCTCGCGCATTTGGCCGGCTGCGTCCCTGAAAATGGCAGCAGGACCCGTGGTGGGTGAGCGGGCCGCACAGAGGTGCGGCCGGGAAGGGTCTCCCAGGCCGTGGCGGAGGGAGCGGGTTCGGTTGAGTGAGGGTCCCAGACGTCGGTGAATTCTGCTGCTTTTCATGAGGGTGCGCGGAGGCCTCGCGTCTGATGGTCCTGTGTGTGATTTTTAAGAAAACTTTTTACTGCGTCACATCATTTTAGATTGACACTTTTAATTAGATTTCATTTAGTCAAAAGTGAAACGCGTGCACCCTCACCATCGGCAGTAATTAGCGTGGAGCCTTTCTTCCTGAAACTTCAGTGCGCTGGAGGCCCCTCTTCCGGTGCCCCTGCCTTCATGAACCTCATCGAAGGAAATATCAAGCAGATATTACTTTCCCTGCCCTAAAGAGAAATTAAATTCTGCATTATAACAAAACAAAACAGAAAAACCCTCTTCCCTGACTGCAGAGTTAACACGCCTGTTAGAAGGACTTTGAGATGTCACATGAGGCTAGGGGAGCGTGAGACCAGCCGGCCCACCGCCGGGCGAGGAGCCGTGTGCTCCCCAGGCGTCCGGCTGTGCCGGGTCAGTGGGTCCGCCGCGCTCCCATTCGCCCTCTGCACTTGGGTGGTGGCGGTGCTCACCCTGTAGGCTGGACGTCACCCCGTGTCAGTAAACACACCAAAGTAAGTGATGCCGGACAAGAGACTGAGTTTTAAAACAGACAAGACACTGAAAGAGCCCTGGAGGGAACCATGCTTGGACGTTGGTATGATCAGAGTAAGGAAGGACCTGCGCACGGAAAACCGTAAACAACTGATGTGCCAGGGACCCGGCCTCGCAGTGTCGGGGGAGGGACCTTGGTAACGAGCGCGAGGCCGCACCGCCCCAGGGGACTCCACGGCGGCCTCTCTGCAGGGCCTCAGGAACACCCAGGGTGTGCAGCCTGCCTCGCGGCTCGTCTGGGGCCACATTTCCAGCTGAGCCTGCACTTATCCACGACCCCTAAGCCGCTCTTTGCCTTTAATGTTCCCCCTGCAGGTTGCCGCCATTAACCCGAACCACCCGCTCGCGCAGATGCCCCTGCCCCCGTCCATGAAAAACTGCATTCAGCTGGCAGCCTGTGAGGCCAACGAGCTCCTGCCCATGATCCCCGACCTCCCGGCCGACCTGTTCACGTCCTGCCTCACCACCCCCATCAAAATCGCCCTGCGCTGGTAAGTAAGTGGCTCCCGCCGCGTCCTGGGGTTCCCGTGGGGATCCCGAGACGGGTGTGAACTCAGCCTCCCGAGGCTGAAGCGTCGGGCGGGTTGCGCGTGCGGCCGGCCGCTCTGTGGTTTCCGGGTGCGCCCTCTCCGCACCCGACACCCGAGGGAGTGAGCTTTGCGCGCCGGTCGCTCTGGAACACAGGCTTGCGTTTGAACGCAGGGAAGGCCGTCGTGACGAGAGGAGCCGTTTCGCCCCAGGCTAGAGTCGGAGTCTAGTCTTTCAGTTGATTCAGGAAGTCCAAATTCTTTCCTGCCTCTGGTCTTTGTAGAAGTCCAGAACTTTCCAGAGCACGACTGAGGAAATGGGGGGGCCTTCCAAACGGTGGAACCTGCACTTAGGTCCCGCCGGTGACGCGGGACCTGCCACGGGACGCGGGTGCTCTGGCCCCCAGACCCAGTTTTCCAGTTTTCTGCTGCCGGCCGCCCCGTTGCTCTTTTTTCATTTTCCGTTTGTGTTTTGCGGAGAAGCTCGTCTGGCTGCTGTCTAGCCGGGAGAGGGACACACACAGCTGGTGGGCGGTGTTCACTGTCTGCCGGGTGGGCCCTTTCCAGGGCTTTCTCTGAGGGCGGCCCGGCACACGAACCCACAGACACCCCCCCCCCCCGGTCCTTCCCACGAGCCCAGAGAAGCGGCTGAGACACGTGTGGACCCTGGGGGCTAATATAATAGCTCAGCAACAGGCCCCTGGGGAGACCCCTGAGGGCCGGAGCTGCTTGGTTGGACAGAAGCTAGAGCGGTGTTCCCAGTCCGCCCAGGCCCCCCGGTGAGGTGCACAATGCTGGGCTGGCGGAGCAGCTCCCCTCTGCCCCCCGCATCCCAGGGCTGGGGGTTGCCCCAGGGAGAGCCTCCTGCAGGCTGACTTCCCCGTGAGGAGTCAGCAGGGAGGGGGAGCTGCCCAGAGGGGCTCCTAGCCGCCCAGCTCAACCGCCAGCTGACAGGTCCCCCGCTGCGCCCTGAGAAGCAGAGGTCGACCCTGAGGGGCACGGCCAGCGTGGGACAGAGCTGTGGAACGGCCCCAAGCGAGTTGTGTGCACGTGACGGGGCTGAAGGAAGGAAGACGCTGGAAGCAGGAGGCAGGACTGCGAAGCGGGAATCTAAGGAAGAGCCCGGTGGGGGCAGAGGTAGAAAAACGATGATGTTTGGAAGGAGGAACACGGCAGGTGGGATCCGTGGCAGGAGAGGGGGCCGCAGCCCGCATCAGCTGGAAGGGCGGCCGCAGGAGGGAACAGAGAGGGCAGGCGACACAGAGAGAGAAACGGGCGCTCCCGTGTGCAGGGAGAGGTCGGCAGAGGCGCCGCTTCCTGAGGGTGACACGGACACGTTCTCCAAACGTGGAAAGAAGCGGAAGCTCGGGCCAGGAGGACACGCGGGCTCCGCACCGTCACCCACCCCCCTGCGGGCGCGACTCTCTCAACGTGGCTTTTGATTCACGAGGCCGGTCCTGAGTTTCCCTCCGCAAGTGTCGGTGCTGTTTGGCGGTCGCCAGGAGAGGAGGAAGGGCCGCTTAACGTGATTCTGTTCATCATCCAGGAAATAATGAACTGAGCTCCGCTGTGTCCTGAAAACCCGCCCTAAGCGCCATAGGAGACGCGAAGTTGTCCTCCCAGATTTACAGTCTGGCCGAGGGACACAAGCTGCCGAGGGCGCCCGAGTGTCGCGGACAAGCGTGGCCGGGGCTCTCGTGTGCCCAGGGGACAGAGAATCTCTGAGGGCCAAGGGGACGAGGGAAAGCGTCCTAGGGGAGACGCAGCCCGATGGGGGTCCCCGCAGGGGGCCGGGTCTGAAGAGGAGCAGAGGGGCGTCGCAGACAGGCGGCTCACGGCCCCGCCGGCTCCAGGGGTGACGCGCGCCTCTGAGAAGAGCAGGTCGTCGGCCCAGGAAGCTGAAGAGGTGTAGGTGAGGTCAGGGGTGGACCGGCGTCGGACGTGGGTTGCTTTGAATGCCGAGCCCGTGACCTTGACGCGGCGGACTGACGGGGAGAGGCCGGGGGGTGTTTGCGTGGGACCGTGACTTGATAAGAAGAGTGCCGAGGCAGCTACTCTCCCAGCCCGATCCGGTCCCCGTCCGCTCCAGGGCGAAAGCGGGAAGGCCGAGGTCTGCGGGCAGTACCCCCACACGTGCGCCTGGACCCTCCCGGGGGCGGGCCTCGTTTCCACTCTCTGTCCCGCCTCTCCCCCCAGGGTCTCCTGCCCTTGCTGCCTCTGCGCGCCGATCCCGAATGACGCCGGGAGCCAGGTGTGCCCAGGCCTCCGCCCGCCCTGGGCCGGGGCTGTTTGCTGGGCCTGGCACGGGGCATTTGTGCGGGTTTTCGGGTGGGCGAGTGGAGATGCATGCAGGGAGGGAGGAAGGAAAAGAAGGCAAGAAGGGCCTGAGCGGGAATCCTTGGCGCCCGCACCTGCCCATGTCGCCGCCCCCGCAGCAGGCGGATGTCCTCGCCCGTGTCCCCGACGTGCTCCCTTCCACCCTGGTCGGGGAGGACTTGGCGCCCCTCACCCACAGCTGGGTGCCGTCGAGCCCGCCCTCTGATCGGGGAGCGGGCTTCACTCCGCCGCGACAGGACGCGTTGTCTCGGGAGCTGCCTGAAATCCTGTCGGGAGTGAGGATGTAACTAAAGCTTGTAAAAGTAAGCGTCTGGTGGGAAACACAGTGAGAAGCAGCTCCAACTAACGTGGTTCCCGTCAGGGGCGGCTTCGGAGTCAGCGCGCCAGAGTTGCAGGCGGTGGTCATCAGAAGGGTGCGTCTGGAACAGTCGGGCGCTGCCCGGCGGGTCTGTCTTCGCGGTAAGCCACTCTCCGCCTAACGGATGAATCAGATTGTGGCTGCGCGGTCCTCAGCCTGTGACGGCGACAGACCACGATCCTTGGAAGACTCGTCAGGTGAAATGTGTGCTCGTTTGTAGCAACCGGTCCAAAACCACCAGCTTGTCTTAAATGGAGGAAGGAAATCAGCCTGGTAGGTAGCGCTCGTTTGTATTTCCAGGGTTAAGGGTTGGTTTTTCATTTGCAAAGTCGGTATTTTCCAACTTAAAGGAGGGTGTACATTCCTTGCAGAAAACTTACAAAAAGGAAAAGAAGGGCACCCGACCGGCTCAGCTCATGCCGTCACGGTCCGGGGGATCCGGCCCTGCGTCAGGCTCTGCGCTCACAGCACAGAGCCTTCTTGGGATGGTCTCCCCCGCCCTGCCCCCCACCCTCTGCCTCCCCTGCTCATGCAGGCGCGCGTGTGCTCGCTCACTCTCTCTCAAAAGAAGTAAACACGTTTCTAAAAAATGCAACAAGAAGAGAATGATTATTCAAGATTTTACCAAGTTTGACACACTCAGTGTTGCCTGTTTGCTGTATTGCCTGTTAGTCTCTAGTTCTGTGCATGTACATTTCTGCACGGATGTAATGAGGCTAAAATTTGCACTTTCTGCTACTTAATCTTTAGCATTATAATAAATTTATCCTAGACCATTAGAAACTGTTAGTAAACACCATTTGTCGTGACTGCATAAGATTTCACTTTATTTACGTTCCCTGTTTTATTTAACCAAAGCCTAGGGCTTTGGGATTTAGGATGCTAGTCAGCAAAGGTAGGAGAGCTCACGGTAACCCAAGGATAGGGGTCTGCCACGCTTTTCTGCAAAGGGCCAGATAGTGAATAGTTGAGGCCTTGGGTGCCCGAGACCCCAGCTCTGCTGGTAGTGTGGGGGAGCCGTACGGACGTGGACAGATGAGAGGAGCTGTGTTCCCGGAAAACTGTTTTGTGAAAACAGCTACTGGGCCCTACTTAGCCAGCTCGTGCTTTTGAAAATGGAACCAGAATCTTAGTGTGTGTGAGACCACTGTCCTCATCTACTGGTCAGGAAATACCCTCCCTCCCTCCTTCCTTCTTGTGTGAGTAGGACGATGGTTTTTAGCAGCACTCACTCGTTATGTAAGGCACAACTGGAGAAGAATACCGTGTGCTTTATGAACGTACCACAGCCTTGCTTTGTACGTGCGAAACGTGTGTGTGGTCGTATTTGGTGGCAAGTGTATTTGTGAATCTTATTTGATGATGAAGTCGTTTGGGAAACCTGGTTTTTGGATTTTGTTTTCGTGTTTTGCTTCAGTATTTCTTATTTTCAGAAATTGATAATGTCAGTAATTCTGAAACGAGCCAGTACATCATTCCCTATATAAGTGATCACCTTCCTCAGCATGTTTATCAACGTAGTACAAGAGTCTAAAATACAGGTTTTCTTTTGGCTTTTTCTGCGTCTTTGGTGTCAGAATTCCATTTTAAATTTATTGTGGCCATATTTGTGTACTACTGAAAATTATAACCCAGTGGCACTTAATTTGCCATAAACTAGATTGATGCCTATTGCATTGTGCAGCATGTAATCGTATTGTTTATTAAAGAAAATGATAGACGTTATTTTGCCTTGAATAGAGGTCAAGGAACGTGTTTCTCTCCTTTCAATTAAATTGAGGAATTTCAGGGAGTTTAAATGTTAATGACACCGGATTAATGTGTATTCCTCCGCATGGGAAGTCTTGCCCTCCTGTGTTTACCCAGCGAGGGAGGCAGAGGAGACAGGCAGGCCTCAGGCAGGCGGGCGGAGCTCAGCACGCGGCAGTTTGCGGTGGCCCGGACGCCGTGTCGTGACGCTAGCTGCTCTCGCCACCGTGATGGTGATGTTCCAGCCAAACGTAAGAAAGAGTCGGACAAGTCGTGATGACTCAGCAGAGGAGAGAGGGCTGACACCTCAGCCCCAGGATGGAGAAAAGCCAAAGACAAGTCAGCTGACTCACGGAGCAGAATTTCGGGACGCAGGGAGGCCCAGGCGCAAGGCCCCCGTTGTGTGTCCGGCCGGGCTGAGCAGAGGGCAGTGCCTGTCCCATCGCAGACCCTGCCTGTGACGTTTGCTTTGTATCTTTCTTAAAGACTCGGCCAAGACTCAGTCAGAGTTACCTTTACA